TGATGATGATGATGTTTCTTACCTGCCTCACTTCATGGCTCGAGGCAGGTTACAACATAGTTAAAAAACACAATTGTTACATAATACACACATATTAAATGCATAGGCAGCCCATGGACTGAACTGATCACTTAGGGCTAAGTCAGCATATCAAATTCATTTAATATGCCTTTCATTTGAAGCTCACTGGGAGGTTCTCAAGTGCTGAGTGAACTGATAGGAGTTTAGAGCAAAGATGAGCAGTGTGTAGACCCCCAGTTGGATTGCAACTGTAAGCATTCCTCTAAATTTTCTTCTTTTTATTACTGCTTCTACTATCATCATCATTTCACTTTTCGCAGAATTGGGATGCAAAGCAGTTCACAATTTAAAAGAACAATACACTCATCCCTGCACATTTGTAGCTTTGATTTTTGTGGATTTATTATTCACGGATTTTATTAATATGCTCTCTCTAGGAATATCTAGGCCCTCCAGTGCAACTCTATCATCAATTTTAACCAAAAGTCACACTTAAGGACCTAGAGATACCTAGAGAAAACACTCCACTAGGCTTTGTAGCTCTTCCAGTGCAATTCTATGGCCAATGTCTGTCAGATGTTGACCATAGGGTTGCACTGGAGGACCTAGAGATTCCTAAAGAGGTGTTATATCAGGTAAAAACATAGTGGTTTTGTTATTTGCAGTTGTTCCACATTCACAGGAATCCTGTGTCCCTAACCCCAGCAAATGTGGAGGGATGTGTGTACTATTAATTACAATACAATTAAAAATATACACCATTAGCTATTACTGGCCAGAAATGATGGAATTACAGTCCAATAACACTCAGAGAGCCACACTTTCCCAGCCTTGTTTTACAGTCTGCCTACAAATGATCTTACCTCTCCAGACATGTGCCTTACCAGTGACATCTAACTCTCCCTATACCCAGCACACACAGCTAACTAAACATTTTAGGTTTATCCAGCATAAAAGAGAATAAGTGAACTTGTACATGCACTTTTTATTGTACTTTTTATTGAACTTGTCTAAATTAAAGATTCAGCATGGAATAAAATACTGACTTAAGTCCATTTCAGCAGCATGTGGGGCATGTGGTTGGGTTCTACAATTCATAGTGAATTTGTGGGAGATGACTCAGTTCTTTTATTAACAGTTAACTGGCAATACAGTGGGGTGGATGTATGATTTCTATATGCCATGTCAGGCTCTCAGTAGTTCATTTGAAGTGGGAATGAAATAATGAAGAATGGACATGAAAAGCAGTAAAACAACACAGAAAAACAAATCTAGTCAAGAGCAAGAGTTGATGAAATAATAAAGGGTGTGGAATCACACAATGTTTCTAGCTCTGTGTGGTCACATATGACAAAATGTGAAATGGGGTCTCTGGATGAAGATAAACCATTGTTTATGAAAATGTAGCATGGTTAGCTTTGTGCATGCCTACCAACTCCTTTCTGTCCAAGGCAGGGGTAGGCAACCTTTCCCCTTTAAGGGCCGAGGGACTTCAGCTCCCAGAAGCCTCAGCCATGTTGGCCAATAGTCCCATGTTGGCCAATAGCTCCTGGGATTCTGGGAGCTGAAGTCCCTTGGCCCTTAAAGGGGAAAGGTTGCCTACCCCTGGTCCAAGGCAAGGAAGTTTAACCTTCCCATCACATTTCCTGTTTCCATATCCTCGTTTCTTAACTAACTATGATTTGAATAAGGAACAGTCCCCCACAATTAATGTAACAGGAAGCTATGGTAAACTGTGGCTAGGAGCTTTGCATTTTGTCACCTTTTGCCTGAATGGGGATAGAAAAGAAGGGAGTGTGTGCAAGCCTGTGGTTGGCTGTGTTGTAATTCTTTAATGGCAAACCATTGTTTTGTTGTTATAGCTGAATGGACCTACAGGGGAATGTTAAGTCTGTCAAAATAAAAGGGTTCAGCTTAGGATTTGAATATATTTCAAGGCTGGTATAGACACTTATAACTCAAACTATTTGCATAAAAAGCCATACAGGTTGAGTATCCCTTATTTCAAATACTTGGGATCAGAAATGGATTTTGGATTTTGAATACTTCCATATATATAATGAGATAGCCTGGAGATAGAAGCTAAGTCTAAAAATGAAATTCATTCATGTTTCATATACACCTTATACACTTTGCTTGTAGGTAATTTTATACCCAACAATTTTAATAAT